TTATACTGTCTGGGCAGTAACAAGTTCAAATAGTAATTTACTATTTACATTTAAACAGCATATTTTATTTGTAAATGGTATTTTACACGTAGATAGTAAGTTACTGTTTACATGTAAAATATGATGAAAACTTAAATTTATTTAACAAAATGAAAATATATTTATTAAAACAGGAATGCATAACATATACTACCTGTAAAATTACTTGACATTAAAAATAGGATTTTAACTAACTCTGAAACAACATAAACATGTTTTGCTATATTACACAATCATAAATGTTCCACAGTAGAGAAGGTTCTAGAAAGTAATTTAAAAACCTAGCATTTAGTTCTCAAAAAGGGCAGAAAGCAAAGCAAAAACTCATATAGTTTTTTTAAAAGAAAATAAATCCCCATTTTAATATTTAAAGGAGCAATGGAATGAAATGGGAATCCATATTTTTTCTTTTTTTTCTAGGGTATTATCCACATAGAAATCACTTGAGCTTCACCAAAAGGTTAAAACCCCCATTCTTTATTTTGGAATCACTTTTATATTTAAATAGAGAGCTACATGGTCTCAATAACCTTTCTAGGACTCGGTGTTCTAATCTAGAAGATGTGAAAATAATTTAGTTTCATGAGGCTCCTTCTACCTAAATAATTCTGAGCCTGCAAAATGAATGTTCCATCTTTTCACCTTTTAAATTAAGGAAGGATACAATATGATTCAAAAATAAAGAATGACAAAGTATATTTTGGTTTTAAATAAATGGGTAGTTAAAAAAATACTCACATATAACATGTATAAGAGCAATAAAGAATGAGGAAAGGGGACACAAAATAAAAAGACATGAAAGGAAATGAAACTGGGATTAAAGGGGTCAGGGAAGGAGAGTAGAAGAGAATGTGTTACATAAACCACCGGGGCAGAAAAATAGTGGCAAATATGCATATAGAAAAGTAGATTCATGGCCAGGTGCAGTGGCTCACACTGGCAATACCAGCAATTTGGGAGGCCGAGGTGGGCGGATCACCTGAGGCCAGGAGTTCAAGACCAGCCTGATCAACATAGTGAAACCCTGTCTCTAATTAAAATACAAAAATTAGCCGGGCGTGGTGGTGCATGCCTGTAATCCCAGCTACTTGGGAGGCTGAGGCAGGAGAATTGCTTGAACCTGGCAGGCAGAGGTTGTAGTGAGTTGAGATTGCACCATTGCACTCCAGCCTGGGCGACAGAGCAAAACTCTGTCTCAAAAAAAAAAAAAAAAAGAAAGAAAGAAAGAAAAAAAAAGTAGATTCATAATAAATACAGTAAGATGTCAATTCATAGATGAAAATTAGCATAACAGTGAGAAACATAGAGGAAGAGAGCGATGATGATGGCAAGAGAGCCTCTTACACCCACATGCATGTTCAGAGAAAATACAAAGAAATATGAAGAGGGATAAATATTAAAAATACCTGAGTCAGAAGTGTGTATAAAGATCATAGAATGAGATGCTCAGAGAGAGAAACACAGAGGCTAGCTTTAATAACATCCCCACTTTGTGGCTCTTATGGGTATTATTGTTAAAGACTGTAAAAGGTCAAGTTATGTATTAGACAAGAATGAGGATATCATTTCATGAGCCTTCATTGCATGAAGGCACCCATAAATTTATGCTAATGGCTATATTCAGTTTAAAGCAACCCTTTCCATATCCGCTTAAAGAGAAGCTACCCAGGCCAAGGCAAGGTAACACGCTTTTGCAATGAACTCATTATACGGTCCACCACTCCCTTAAAGAAATAGCTATATTATCTTCACCCGCTGTTTTCTCTCTTCAGCAATGAAACATAAAGGTACAGGCCAGGTGCAGTGGCTCACGCCTGTAATCCCAGCACTTTGGGAGGCTGAGGTGGGCGGATCATGAGGTCAGGAGTTCGAGACCAACCTGGTCAACATGGTGAAACTCCATCTCTACTAAAAATACAAATTAGTCGGGTGTGATGGCGTGCGCCTGTTGTCCCAGCCACTCGAGAGGCTGAGGCAGAAGAATCGCTTGAACCCGGGAGGTGGAGGTTGCAGTGAGCCGAGATCGTGCCACTGCACTGCAGCCTGGGTAACAAAGTGAGACTCCGTCTCAAAAAATAAAATAAAGGTACAAAAGTAAGTGGTCAGTTGGCTCAATATGCAGAATGCAGCATATTAGTTAGCTGTGCAGAAAGCACCTGCCAACTGATTATGATATTAGGATATATCTGGAGATACTATGTACTAAGGAATTGACATATTCATGTCCCAGTAACTATGACCCACTAGTTCTAATTATATCACCCACTCTAAGCTTTGGATGAAGGGTAGGACTCGAGAACACAGGGAGGGGGTCCGCTTTATTTCTACCTTCCTGTAATAAGTAAGAGCTTGAGATTTAATGAAGATCAAAATGGTCTGCCAGTGTTATAAGCCACTTTTTTAACTTTAAAAAAAAAACTTGTGTTATTTACCTAAATCTGGTACTGATCATTTCCTTTGTATCCCTAAATCTAAACTAACAGGGATACAGGGGCATATGGATGGAGAAAAGATGATTAAATAATTTTAATATGACTAATGAATAAAATTCCAAATCCTGTGGCATTTAATGGCAAAGACATTGCATTAAAATTATAATTTTGACATAAGAAACAGATATTATGGATGCTGTAGTAACATAAATATATACATGATGGTGTTCGTAACCTCAGTTTTTATTTTCTATCATAAAAATTTGACTTTTTATTTTGTTTCAGAACACACAAAACCTTCACTCTTTCACAATCCACAAACCTGCTATTGTATATTTTAGATAGTTATCTCATAATTCCTACAATTATAATTTTTTTTTTTTTTTTTTTGCCATAAGATGTACTGAGATATTGTAGGACATTTTGGGTATCCTGCCTCCTTGTTCTCTTTTTATGAGGGATGATTTCATTTGCATTGTTATGTAGATGTAAAATTTAATTGCTGGGACACCACCTTCCCTCCATACATAAAAGTCTATATCTTTACACAGATGTTTTGCAATCATTAAAGGTAGAAACCAAGAAGGGTTTTTTTTTTCCCCCAAATAACTACCTGCTTGAATTACAGAGACTTAAGCGCACATTATGGTTTTAATGTCATAAAATTGGTACTTATTTTAGTTCCTATTTTATCAGTCATGTAAATGATCTGTTATTAGAATGTCAGCATCATCAATTTAAAAAGTATAATAAATAACCTGACACAATTCGAGATGTTCACAAATTAGATGACTCAGTATTGTAAAGATGCTAATTGAGCTCCAGATTCACAAAATTTCAATCAATATCCTGGCAGGCTTTATGTAAAAATAGACAACATGGTTCTAAAATTTATTCAAAGAAACAAAAGTAGCCAAGGCAATCTTGAATAGGAAGAACAAAGTTGGATGGTTTACACAACCAGATCCAAAATGTGTAAATAAAATGATTGCATACATACATACAATGGAATATTATTCAGTCATAAAAAGGAGTGAAATTCTGACACATGCTACAACATAGATGAACCTTGAAAATATTATGCTGAGTGAAGTAAGGCAGACACAAAGTGGCAAATATACAATTCCAATTATGTAAAAGATCTAGAATAGCCAAATTCATAGAAACAGAAAGTAGTCCAGAGGCTACTAGTGGATGGGAAGACAGAGAAAGGGGAACTATTGCTTAATGGTTACAGACTGTCTGGTTGGAGTAATAAAAATTTTGGAGACTGGGCGCAGTGGCTCACACCTCTAATCCCAACACTTTGGGAGTCCAAGGTGGGCGGATCACCTGAGGTTAGGAGTTTGAGACCAGTCTGGCCAACATGGCAAAAACCCATCTCTAGTAAAAACACAAAAAGTTAGCTGGGCATGGTGGCAGGCGCCTGTAATCCCAGCTACTTAGGAGGCTGAGGCAGGAGAATCACTTGAACTTGGGAGGTGAGGTTGCAGTGAGCCGAGATTGCACCACTGCACTTCAGCCTAAGCGACACAGCGAGACTCTATCTCCAAAAAAGAAAAAAAAAAAATTGGGGGGCGGGATAAATTGTGGCGATGGTTGTAATAAATGCCACTGAATTGTACACACAAAATGACTAAAATGACAATTTTTTATGTTATATATTTTATCACAGCTTAAAAAAGTAATATCCCAATACCATTGAATTGTCCACTTAAAATGAGTTAAATGGTACGTGAATTGTAGCTCAGTAGAATTGTTTTTAAAAAAAGATTGTACTTAAGCCAGTGAAGTACTGTTATAGTACAGAGTTAATCAAATGGAAGAGGATATAGAATCTAGACGCAGATTCATACATACAAGTTCTCTTGATTTATAACAAAGATGCCATGACAATACAGTGAGGAAATGATTATCTTTGAATAAATAGTGCTGGATCAATTGATGTTGCTTTTTATTATAAATTCATATGCACCACTTGCTTTATATAAAATAAATATGCATTAATTTAATAAATAGTATTAATATTAGATTTATATAGTATTCAAGGTGGAAAGATGAAAACTCACGAGTTAATAAGTAGGTAAGTAAATAAACTTGTGGACAACGTTAGTGTACATTAATTATTAAATCTATAATCTAGGTGTGAATAATTAATTTTGATTTATGATACTTGTTTAACTAGAACCAGACCACGTCCTTTTAGATTCAATACTGTCAGTATATACCTGGCCACTGAATTAAATACTTCATCATTTCTTCAGTCTAATTCTTCAGAATAATTTAGGCAAAAAAATTGTAGTATAAATTATGGCATTTGGTCACTAATGTAAAGCCATTCACCATCATCATTTTTTCTAGCCACAACAAAACATACAGCCAAGGCAAACGGTCAGGTTGAAAAACAAAACAAAACAGCAATCCACATACCAGCCTCCTCCCCCACCAATGAAGCACCCAGGAGACAAAATACATACAAATACTTGCAACATTTAACATATGTGACAGAAGAGATGGTTAATGTCTAACCTTTATCCACTGGAGATTTGTCCGCTTGAGCTTATTTTCAAGTTTATCTTGCTCTTCTGGGCTTATGGGAGCACTTACAAGCACGGGTCCTCCAGTTTCATTTAATTGTTTTAGAATTCCCTGGCGCAGGGGCAACTCTTCCACCAGTAACTGAAACAGACATTGCAACAACGTTTAAAATGAATTACAGCACAATTCCAACTACCTTGTCTTCGCTTCTATTGATTAATCTATCAAAATGAAGCGACTTGACCGAGGGCCCAGTGGTACCTCAAATACCAACAGTTTTCTATTTGAGCACAGAGCTGATTGACTGAAACACTCACTCCCCAGTAGATCAATCTTTGCAGGAAAAAAATGATTATTTTATCCCTCATAATTTTTTAAGAGAAAAATGTGAGATGGTAAAGCAACACTCCAAATAAAGTTAGTGTCTGAAAACATGTCTCTATCAAAAATAGAACAATGTGAGTAAATTCATCAACCTCTTGGGTATCATAGCATGTCATAGCATACCGTAGCTTGCCACTGAGAAACTGCATTATCATCTTAAGAGGTAACTGACATTGAGAATGTTTACTCTCAATATACACAGTGCCCGGCACTGTGCTAACTTTTTCATGTTTAGTAGTTTATCTTCATATTATAATACTTATATCAGGTAGATCCTATTATCTTCATTTTATATGGAAGGAAACTGAGACAAAGAGGTTAAATACCAGCTCCCAGGACACAAATCTAGCAAGCAACAAAGTTGTGGTTCAAATTTGGGTAGTTTCATTCTAGAATCCTCATTTTTTCACTCCATATCCCTAAATTTCTCTTACTCATTCACCATCATATAGTGTATACCCTTTCCCAAGACCTCCAAAACCACCATGATGTTAACAACCGTGTTTTATTCATTTTTGTCATCTAGAGTTACAGTGTCTGCTACAGTACCCATTAGCCATACGACACTATCAACATTTAAGTTAATCAAAATTCGCTAAAATAAAATCTCAAGTTCCTCAGTCACACTACCAACTCTCCAGGCATTCAAAAGGTACAAATAACTAGTTGTTACAAATATGGATAATGCAGAATATTTTCATCACCACAGAAGTTCTATTTGACAGCACTGATCTAGATTCTTTTTTTTTTTTTTTTT